TGGTTTATCGGTAGCGTTACCCGTAGCTCCTTCAGCGACACGATACGCTGTATACTGCTTGTGCATGTGCTTAAGCTGGGATCGCATAATACGTTTACATTGATGTTCAAATTGCAATTGGTCGGCAACACGTCAATAGTCGTACAGTACCTTTGACTTGCACTGCTTCGCGTCGACGATGAGCCCGCCAAGTCGCGAGGTCTCCGTTGCCACAAGCCCCCAAGCAATGGAGAGCTGCTTCGCACTCTTATTGCGATGAAAGCGGTCACGCATCGTCTCGTAGCGCACACGCAATAGCGCTTCGGCAGCCTTCGGTGTCCAGGCAAAGGTAGTGGGGGGCTCTTGCGCAGCATTTGGCCCTTCGCTAGCAGCACTACCACCAGCAGTAAGTGCTTTCCCCGCTGCATCGACACTTAAAGAGGCAACTGCACTTTGACGCTCCATGGTTTGCCGTGAGTCAGCCGGTGTAGCGGTCGGCGCCGAAGAAAGTTGGGCGAGCTGAACAAACGTCCCAGGGTCGTAATCCCCTACGCTCAATGATACCCGGTCGTCAACTTGACGGAGATCAGCATCTTCCGACAGTTGCGAAGGAGAAAGCGGCGTGTACTGTGTCTGTGGAGCTTGCTTGCGGGCCATCATCATGAAGCTGTCTTGGTGTCTTGGTGTCTGCGAAGCCAGGGTGGTGCACGAACAATAATAGTTTGCTATTGGTTAAAATGATGTGTGGAGATGGAGCTGGAGCGAACGCAGATCAAGACGATATGTGCCTTTCTCTACTGCGATCTCCATCTAGGACACAAAGCGAACACGCTCTAATGCTATCATCTCAATTGCAATATATTCATTCCCGGAGGAACACTCGTCCGTCCAATACATGCACGTAGGACACGGGACGACACGGACGCGGAAGGTTAATGCCGAGAGTGAAGGTGCTGCCGGCGTAGGCGTATTATGTTGTCATCGCAGCAATTATTATCATTTGCATTGTTTCGGGCAATTTCGCAGTGCCTCGACTCTACGGAGCGTGTGGCTCGGATTAATTATCAAGTGGTCGATAGCAGGGGCACACGCACGTACACGTTGAAAGAGCTGATGGTTGGATGGGATGTCCAGTATGTAAAGCCAAAGACGTCGCTGACAGTTCGAGTTCACAAACACTTATTGTTTGAACCTATCGCAGTGAAGGCATCCTCTGCTTTCCGGCGAACTCTACGTCCGTCAGCTTTGAGCACGAAAGCGCTTAATTCATCCCTGTCTCTTGCAGTCGCTAGGTCGCGAGTCGCACCTCGACACGTTATCGCATGGCTGCCTGTAAAATAACATCCGCGTCCAGAGTTGCATCGAGCAACAAATGAAGGTGACGAGACGGCGGTTGCATCGAGGAACAAATGGAGGTGACTGTCACCGTCACAACACGGCGGTAGCATTACTGGAGCTGATGTTAGCATTGCTGGAGGTTGTAGCAGAAGTGCTCAACCAGTGGTGCTGCAGCAGCACCCAATCATCGATTCGAATGGCACTGGTGTTCGTATCGCTAGTGGCGCCAATGACAGCAGTAACAACGGATCTGATCCAGTCTGCTAGTGCCAAGGCAAATCTCAATACCAACAACTTAATTGAGTTGAGAAATGGCGTGAGTAGAGACACCAGCCGCAGGCGATTTCGATGTTGATGGTAGGCATTCTGTGTGAACGGGAGGCAAACGTGGGGAATCGAGCTGAAGTCAGGATGATTCGTGCTGGCAATTGCGCTGAGGGCTCTATCATTGCGACTTCCGGCGCGAGATTGAATTGACCGATCCAGCGCAGTGTGTAGCCATCTTTGCTCGATTCTGCTACGCATACATAATGCTGAATCCGAAGGTTGCTATCTTGCCCGCTGACGCGATCCGATAAGTTTATGAAGCAATGCAGCATGATCGACTTCCTAACAAAGATTTGCTGGCGTGCGTCTCGACAAATGCGTAAGAATATCGCAATGAAGGATGCATCGAATCTCACGAAAACCTCAAGGTTTTGACGAACTCGCCTCACCATTAAAACGTAAATTAGGTACGTGAGAAAACAAGCTTGTGATGTAGCAAACAGTACTATTAACGTCTACCTTGTCGACGCTAATTGGCGCACCACGGCAGGATCTCGCGCCAGGCTTCAGTATCTGACGATCAGAGAGACCATCGTTTCTGGCGACTGCTTCCTTCTCAACGACGAAGTCTTTGCAGCTGTACGCCTAGCTCCAAGCGTCGCTTGTTACAATGCAGCCGCCAGAAACGTCACGCCAGGCACCAACAGGAGAATATAGCAAGAAAACTCCATCTCAAAGCCCGCAACGCTCCAATCTTAGTCTGTGGTCCTTGCTCACGAAACGGCACATGTCAACTTGCCACATGGTTAACACGCAAAATGCGCACAATCTGCTGCAGCATGAGCGAAAGATCACGGCAATAACAGTAAACGCCGTCGGTGCTTCAGGCAATCGCACATGCAGGCGCTGGCTTCAGTGGAGTGGAAGTATGCGCTCTGCCGTGCAAGGATAAAAGTGTTGAGCATCGTGCTCGAAGATGCGCCCAAGGTCCGTAATCCGAAAGATTGGAGGTGAACTTTGCCGCACATCCACCAGTAGCAGCGATGGTCTCAGCCTTGCAACGCCATCTTCTCGACCGCTTCAAGTCGAAGGAGTGAAACGAGCTCAGCTGCTGCAGCGCCTGAGAAAGTCGAGCGGTCGCGACCCCCGCACAGAGTGAAGCCTGCGTTGAGATACGAATCGCGTCTCAAAGGCGACATCTACACCGAGCCTTGCAGCGAGGCTTGCTGACTTGGATGCTACTGGTAGTAGCGTACTACCGCCACATACGCCTCGGCTTCCACCCACAGCTATCAGCTACGCGCAGTCGTCGAGCTCACGTGCTGTGGCTCTTCACAAAGATTTCAAGTGAATTTAGGCGGCCCGTCTCTGCCACGAATATGTCCACCAGTTTCAGTCATTCAAATGGGCCAAAAGACCCGACCCGACACAAAGACCCGCCCGTATTAACCGCTCGCTTCTCTTCGCTGAACAGAACTGAGTGAATGTCGCACTTGGCAAAGCCCCCCAGACGCTAGTTTCGAATTGGCTGTGTATCCCGTAGGTCTTCGCTCGAAGCTCCCCAGGCCGCCCGTGATGCCGCCCAGCTTGATGCTGTCCCCGCAGCCGCAGGACGACGCGTCGACGTCTCTGGCCTCGTCGTTCAGCAAGACGCCGTCCAGTCCACTGCTGGCCAAGCCGGCGCTGGGGCTACCTCCACGCCCCACCACAGCCAGCGTAAACCCCGCCAAAGCCGCTGCGACCATCACTCGCGCGCGTACCCAGAGCCTCCCGAATGCCGGCGAGCAATTGATGGGCAAGGACAGCCCATGGATGCAACAGGCTGTGGATCGCGGGCTTTTCCGCCGCTTCGAGGAGGTCAGCAACGAAGTCGCGAGGCTCAGACGTATCCAGAACATGGACGTCTTCTCCTCCGAGGCTGGAGACGTGGCCGAGCCTCATCCGGAGCTCGCACAGGTGCAGACAGAGCTCAGTCGTGCGAGACGCCGCTCCGTCCGCATCCGCGAGGACCAGAAACACATGATACAGCAGTTCGAGTCCCAGCAGGACCGAGGTATGATCAAGAAATATCTAGCTATGGCCACGGGCTCTGCGGGCCACCAGAAGCGGAAGACTGAGGAGCTCAAGAAGAAACTGGGCCACCACATGGCCGAGGCTGTACGTGCCGACGCCGAGCTCCAGAGACTCGAGCGACGCTCCAGCTCCCTTGTGGACGACTGGAAGCGCCGCTCTTCGTTCTCTAGTAGTCGCAGCTACTCTGTCCAACCAGAGGGCGAGGAAGACGTGGAGATGAGTGAGAGTTGCACACAGGAAGACGACGTGTGCTTCGATGACGAGGACGACATGGACGTCGATGAACGACTCGAGCAGCTCGAGAGGGAGAAGCAAAGACTATTGGGGCTATTGCTCAGGACGCTGCGTCTTCCAGACGCCCTGCAGATGCACACAAACGTGGCCATGTACGCCTCCGAGGTGCAGTCCTGTGAGTCCATCAAGAAGCAGATCGACCGCGCCACGGGGCTCTATCACCAGGCCTTGCAGCTGCTACGTATGGCCATGGCCACTGTCGTATCCTCTCAGTACTCTGGCTCTGTGAAGGAGTTCGCCAATGGTCCATTCGCTCTTACAGTGGAGGCTGGACAGCTCATGGAGGCTGCAAACATCGGCATCCAGCCGGAAGCTCGTCGTAGATACCGACAATTCGCTCGCGAGCTTCAGAACTTGCGTCTGCCCAAGTTTCCTCAGGTCGTGAGCGACTTTGTGCGTCGCGCACGAACCAACTTCGACCCTCGTAGTGCTCTGGCTCAGGAAGCTGTGAGGAGGCTCCCAGCGTGCGAGACCACCATGGTCATGACGCACAAGATCGTGATCGAGAAGCTGGAGCAGCTGGACCGGTGGAAACGCACAGTGGAGCAGGACCAGACTTACGCTCAGACCTCCCAGCGTCGTCTGGAGACGCACCTGCAACAGCGTCTGGCTGTGTTGGCTCGATCCGTGTCGGTCTGAAGCCGTTCACCACCTTAGCGACGCATACAGGTGCGTTGCTTTAAGAGGGCGGGAGCTTCCTGCCTTCCTAGTAAATTGTTCATAATTTATGCGTACGGGCGACAAGAGATGTGAGAGCATTAAAGACTCGCCTCACACGTTCGAGAGTTCCCGGCATCCAATTTCTAATAGATCTCCCTGCATCTTCACGGTAATAACGAGGCCAGCACGAGGTAAACGAAGTGGTAAGAAAACAACAAATTGGCTTACATGTATGTACCGATAGTATTGACACGACCCCATCCCGTCTAGCTGTGCTGGTCTCACTGGCCCCAGTCGTCCATGTTGACGTCGTTGTTGTCGGACTGATCCATTCCGTGTCCGCGGTACGATCGCCCCATCAAAAAGTCCTGACTCCGCGACTGGTCTGTCTGTTGCTGCAACTCGTTGGCGAACATGTGATGGTCGGAGAGTTGACGCTGCTGGCCAGGCAAACCCTGCGAACCGAAGACATCTTGCGAGTGCATCTGCCCTTCGTCGCCGTAGAAGCTCGTGCGTGGTGCCGTCGGTCCTGGTTCGCTGCGCGGGACTTCGTACGGTGCTCCGCGGATCCCTCCCTGTGCAAAGTGGCTCGAGTCCTGATGTCGCACCACGTCGTGGATATCCATCCCCATCTGAGCTGCCTGCTGCGCGTAGATATCTTGCTGCCCCGTGCCCATACCGAGCATTCCCTTGGGCATATCACCGTACAGAGGGTGCTGAATCTGACGAGAGTGTTGCTGCTGCTGAAGTGTCGCCTGTTGTTGCTGGAGCTGTTGCTGCTGGCTGAGCATCTGCAAGTGAGACGATCCGGATGCCACGACTTGAGGCAGATTGGGCGCTTTACTGCGTTGGAACTGGCGCTGCTGTTCTTGTTGATGACGCTGGAGCTCCATTCGTTGTTGCTCCTGCTGTCGTCGTTGCTGCTCTTGACGTTGCTTCTCCTTACGCTGCTGTTCAAGTTCCAGCCGTTGTTGTTCCAGCCTTTGTTGCTCTTGGCGCTGCTTTTCCTGTTCTAGCCGTTGCTGTTCTAGCCGCTGCTGTTCCAGACGCTGTTGTTCAAGACGTTGCTGCTCCAAGCGCTTTTGTTGCTCGAGACGTTTCTGCTGCTCTAGCCGTTGTTGCTCTAAGCGCCGCTGTTCCTCAACGCGACGTTGCTCCTCTAAGCGACGCTGCTCTTCAATGCGTTGTTGTTCGATGCGCTGCTGTTCGCGACGTTCTTGTTCCAGCCGTTCTTGTTCTCGACGCTGTTGCTCGCGACGTTCCTTCTCCAAGCGTTGTCGTTGCTTCTCAAGGCGTTCTCTCTCTTGACGCTCTCTCTCTCGTCGTTCTTGCTCTTGGCGCTGTTGCTCTAGTTGGCGTTGCCTTTCAAGTTGATGCTGCCTTTCCAACTGCTGCCTTTCCAACTCTCTCTTCTTCTCTTCTCGTTGGCGCTGCTGCTCAATGCGTTCTTGTTCGAGACGCTGCTGATGCTGCTGCTGTTTATTCAAAACTTCGAGCGCTTGGTCCAGAAACGATTGCTGGTCTTGTTTGTCGCGCTTGCTGCTTGTTCCTTTCCCTCCGCGAATGGAAAATTGACCAGGCGAAGCCTCCGTCGCAGACTTTCCACTCATGGGCGGAGAGGTGAGAAGGTCAGTACGCGAGTCGCCTCCTCCTGAAATGTCCGGCAGCACTGAAGAAATGTCAGCGATTGCGCGAGATGCTTGCTCTAGATCTGCTTCGCTGTCCTCCTCATTGTCGCCGCGCGACTTGCTTTCGGCAGAGCTGTAGTTGGACTCCTTGGCATCCGAATCTTCGCTTCCAAGCAGCGACGAAATGCCTTTCATTTCACTAGATGAGGCAGCTTTCAGTGGCGTAGCAGCTGCGTTGGAGCGATTACCGGTGGCGGGGTCATCCTTGCTCAAGCGTTGTTTCTTCGCTTCAGGTTCTTCTGCGCTCGCCTCGCCGTCATCAGTACTCTGGTGGTCCTGAGCAGCTCGTTCTTCTTCTTCTCGTGTCTTCTTGGCTTTTTCTTCGGCCTCCGCTTCCTCCTTAATCCTCAGCTCTTCTTCCTCTTGTTCAGCTTTCAAATCACGACACTTTTGGTACAACATGTCCGTCATGTTGACGATCTCGTCGCTCAGATGCTCTTCGCGAGCGATCTTCAAGATCCCAGAAAGCGTCTTGCGCATGCGAGCGCGATTCTGACGGATGGCCTTCATGTTCACCTCATAGTTCGCGATTTGGCGCTCAATAAGGCGACGCGACGGAGGGATCTTCACCTTGGCAAACAGTGCCGGGGTAGGTGGCAGTGGCAAAGCGCTTGGACGCTTTCGCTTCGTGCCGATTAGAGTCAGCGACTTGTTCAAACTGGACGTCATCTTCTCGAAATGGCGCTCCATCTTCGTCCACTCGTTCACGGACTCCGTGATATCACGGAGCTTATCCAGTAACACGGTTAGTAGCAGCTGGTCACTGCTCGTGGTCATGAGCTTCGTACTGTAGCGGTATGACGGCACAAAGCGGTCGTTGATGTTGGTGGATCGGATAAAGTTGCGACGGTGGTTGATACTCGCCAGAAGCGTCTCGGTAAAGTGAATCTTCTGCTCGCACGTGCTCAAGTCGCTGGAGTACTGATCAATCAAGTCCACCACCTTGGTAATGACCCTGGCCTCTGCAGTTCGTGACTCCTCCAGTTCCATAAGCTCACTTTCAGCACTGCGTAAGTTCTTTTCGGTGCGCTTGGCCAGAGCGTTAGTGGTGCGCTCAAACTGCGATTGCGAGGACAAAATCTGGTGTCGTAGGTCGAAGATCTTGATGAGAGCATCCACTTCCGAGTTGGTGTTACCATCGTGATCAGTTCCCGCCTTGTCGTCCTGCTCATCGTCATCGTCACTTTCTGGTCGAGTAGCCGCCAGGATTTCACGTTTCCCATACTCTACGAGTTGAACGAGCTGAGTTTTTTCGAGGTGCACCAGCGTCGCACCGGTGCTGTTAGCGATCAGATTGGCTCGCTCTGTTTTCGACGACACATCGGCGATGAGACTATCGATCAGCACGAGGAACTTTTCTTCGGCCTGAAGAAATGCGGAACATAACGTTAGAAGGTATGCAGGGGTATTATGAAGTGAACAGGTCTCACGTACACTGGTAGACTTCGCAACCTTGGCATCTACAAGCTGCGTATCGTCTTCCGTGCATTTGGTTGTTGCATCCCCCTTGTTGGTCTCGTTTTCTTTTTCCGGGTTCTCTGCCTGTACTGCTGCATCGTCAGCATTCAACGTGTCGATAGCCTCCTGTTTGATCTCCTTCTCCTTCAGAAATTCAACAGGCGTCGACGTGGCCTCGTTCTGCTCCTCAGTAGTTGTCGCCTCACCGGCAGAGGCTTCACTAGCTGCTTCGTCGTTTGGAGCAGCCGTGTCTTTTTTCGACTCATCTGAGTCCACTGAAGCAGATGCGCTATCACCAGTCGAGTCGTCGGTCTTCTCGTCCGCCTCAGCAACTGCGTCTTCAGCATCCTTTTCCTTCTCTGCATCTTTGTCCTTGTCATCCTCGGTTGAAGCTTCCTCCTGCGCCTTGTCCTCGCTAGAAGGTTCTTCCTCGGCCTCCGCAGTGACATCTTCGGCCTCCATAGTGGCAGCTTCGGCCTCAATCGCCTCCTTGGGCTTTTCCTGCTTCTCCTTTTCCTTCTGCTCTGCGATTCTCTCCACGAGCACTCGTCGTGTCTGCTGGAGGAACTCGAGGATCCTGTTGGCTTGGCCTGTCAGACATTTCTCGCAGAACCAGGGAGCCGGTGGTGCTGTCTGAAGCGCCGGAGTTGCACACTTGAAGTGGGTTTTACTATGGCAAGCGCTGCACTGGGCCACGTCCGTCGTGGCTTCTGTCCTACAGGTTGCGCACTTCTGTACTCGAAAAAAGAAATCACCCTGTCAGTATAACCTCTCAGTTGTCATAATTGTCACCACAGCTACACACTGGAGCTGCGTTCTGCTTCGCTTGAGCTGCTGCTGCCGCTGCCTGAACTGCCATACGCTCCTTCGCTGTGGGTGACGGTGTGGGCGCCTTCTTCTCTTTCTGGACGGAGCGAGCGTTTGTGCCGCGTTTGCGGATGTTGAGACGGTCTTTTATGTCCTTGAGACTCTCTCCTGAGGCCGCTGAGTACATGGACGACCAGCCCGCGTCCGTCTTGAGAGCTGCATGTATTGTAAAAGGGAGGAAAGAAGTGAGGAGGACCATGGGATCAGCCGTCTAAGAGACAAGACGTACAGGGATTGAGAGTGCGCTTCATGTGCAGCGCACAAGGCACAGGCGACGTGTAGACCTGGTCCTTAAAGCGGATGGAGCCGTCGGGCAGCAGGTCCGCGTACACCCGCTTGCGGTAGTAGGACACATAGAGCTTTTTGGGGCCAGGCGCCAGCAATTTCTCGTTGATGAGCGTCGTCAGCACGATGCGCGCATCTCCCTACAGTGGACAATGTTAGAGACAGCGAGGGGGGAGAAGATTGCGGCCAGCGCGGGCAGCGCACCATGATGAAGGACGGGACGAGTGCGGAGCGCGCGCTTTGTTTTGCGCTTTTCGCTTTCTATGAGGGGGAGACAGCAAAAACCCGCAACGAGTTGTGATTGGATCATAAATATACTCTTAAGTAAGTATGTGGGAGTTCTTCAATTACATTAGCTTGTTACTTCGAAGTAGTTGTTTATA